TCTCTTTGGCTTAAGGTAGTCTAAATTGGATTTCTGTAAACTGCAGTCAAGGGTGTGAGTGGCTGAAACAAAAGCACAGAAAGGTACAAGAGCTGAGAAGGTCAAGAAACTGAAGATAAGGCAAAATAACAACAAAAGAACAAAAAGAAAAAAGAAAAATAATAAAGATAAGGCAAAGGAATAACCCTATGGAGGCTGCGTAGGGAAAAGAGAAGCACGCAGGCCCCTCTTGCTGATGAAAAGTGGGATGTGCAAAAATGTGGATTAAAGTAGAAAGAGCCGTCCTGGTTAAAGGTTGTGTTGTGTAACCATGAAATGCTTCCCCAGGGAAAATTCGTTTCTGTTTCTAAGTCCTAAGTATTATTGCCATGTCAATAATGCACACTTTCTTTAACAGCGTTTAAGCCCACCACACCTTGACCTTGAATCACTCGCTATTCATCTATGAGACAGACTATGAGGTAAAACTGAAATTCAGATAAATCAGGTTAACTTTTCTCCCTGAGATACTTCATGCAATTATTTAAATGTCTCAACAATGACCAGAATAATGGCCTCAGTAGCAATTATCGCTCAAGTGTTTTTGGTAGAAGACTTTGTGTTAAATATTTTAAAACTCTATTTAGAAAAGTCACATCAACCTAATGCATTTTATTGGACAACATAAAATATACATGAGTATTATGGAAGAACACAGTCTGACACAAGAATGTGAAGCTGGCTGCCAATGCTAGGACAGATGCACCAAGGCAAAGCCAACAGCCAGCAGGCAATTTAAACAGGAAGACATGGCTTTATTAAAGTGATTCTGGATTTGTCCAAAGGACAGATAGTTAATGTGCGTGTGGATTATATACACAGACAGTAGCTATTTTTCTTATCCCATATGATGGTATGCTTTCTATCAGATATCTCTGTAAGGGTTATGTTCAGACATTTTTAATTTCTATGTATGTGTTAAAGACTATTGTATATATGTTTGAGTCATACATTGGGAGTGCTATATAAACATATATTCAGATAAATGAAATGAATTGTGTATTATAAGGAGAAAGTGCAGTACTAGTAATGATGAACCATCTGAGCTTCATAGAAATATAGGGTGTCCCCCAAAAACATATACACACACTTTGACTAATTATAAAGGCCATGTTTATTAAAATGCTTTCATTTTCAAAATTAAGCTATCAGCTGTTGAAGTGTGTATACATGTTTTGGAGACATGCTATATAAGTAATGATAAGTCAAACGTGGGAAAACAATATTATAACAGCGTATGTCTTTAAAGTGATGTTGTTAGATGTATTTTTTGAATCGTGTAGAAATAAATTGACAGAGAAAATAAAAAGTTTATTCAAGATTGCATTTGGAGAATGTACAAAATCAATGTTCCCACCCTCGCCCCTACCACCACCACCGTGACTGCTTCCGTGGTCTGGGCATCCCCATCCTCCAGGCACCCAGAGGTGCAGCCGCCGCCTCCACTGTGGCTGAGTGTGGGTCCACAGCAGCAGCCACGCATCTGGACTACATGTGGGGAGCTCCAGAGGCCGTAGGCCTTCCCCGGGGAAACCGAGGCTGCCCCTCCTGCCTGCTGCACACTTAGCTCCTGTCCGCACAGGGCTGGGCAGGCGTGTTTCCTAAGTTGTGAAACACTACTTCATACTGTCCTTGTTCACAAAGGAGAAGCCAGCAGAGGCGACCCACCCCTGTGGCCATCCTTGGTCACTCTCCCTGTGTGGCCTGTCGTCCAACCTGCAAGTATCAAACTCATTTCCTCTCAGCTAGACTTTTTAAATATATTTTTAAATTAATTTCAGAGAAGAAGGAAGAGGGGGAGAGAGATAGAAACATCAATGATGAGAGTCATTGATCGGCTGCTACCTGCATGCCCCACACTGGGGATCGAGTCCAAAACCTGGGCATGTGCCCTGACCAGGAATTGAACCATGACCTCCTGGTTCATGGATCAATGTTCAACCACTGAGCCACACCAGCTGAGCTAGACTTTTCATTTTCTCTTAATATTTGGCTATAATCTACTTTTCTCTCTCCTTTAATTAGACACCAATGCTTTTCTCAAGGACTGAAAAAAAAATTGATGTGGCAGAAATATGATAATCACCCAGAGTAACATGTTTTTCTCTTTGAAATTAAAAAAATACATAAATTCCTGAAAAATATCTGTGAAATAGAAATTTAAAAAGAAGGCAGAAAGTGAGAGATATTCATAATAAAATCTGGATTCTGAAAAAGAACACTTGCTATGACTATGTTTTAAATATTGGTAAGTAAAACTGTGTAGGCTGTCTTCATCTTATCGGTTTCATGTTAATGGCTCCATTTTGAAAGTACTGAGATCAGCCCTGTTCAAACATTAAAAAATTACCACCTAATGCAATCTGGCAGCAACATTTGAAAATACATAGGTTTCTTAGAGGACCTCAGACTATGCATGTTTTATGCAAATAAGTAGGTACATTTCTTTTTTAAAGAAATCATATGGATTACACTCATAAACCTTAATTACTTCTGGACTGCAAGTCTTGACTATATGCAGGCAATTGTCACCAAAACACATGGAGCCAGGAGAAACTGGAGGATGGTGGAGTAGCAAAGAAGACACGTAGAGTCCTTCCCGGTTCTGTCACCAACCAACTGCAATCTTGGGTAGGTGACACCCTCTCAGAGCCCCAGAGAGGTTGTAAAATAAAAACGTTAAAGCTTCTCTGTGTGGTGGTTATGAGAATTAAGCTGGGTACTAAAGCCCCTGAGTCATAAGAGATACCCCATAAGTAGTAATTCTCTACTGACAGTTTTCGTTCCAGATATGCAATCTAGCGGAATTCTTCTGGGTCCCAAAGTGCCAACAAATGAAATACCAGGTGTTTTTAGCGGCAAACATTTATCTACCTTTGAGATTCTTTGTTGTCAATGACGGATTCTCACTCTATCACCAAAGTATAGAATATTCACCTACTGATCGAATTTCAAAGGTTTGGAGAATTTGTTCAATTGAGCATTGTGTCCTGTGCCTTAGCTCCTCAAGAGATCCAGTGTTCAATGAAGAAGTTTTCAGTGGCTTTGCAGGTGCCTGTCTTGCCTGGTAGTCACATCTTTGAGGCCAGCACAGGTGACAAAGTGATGCTGATGGGAATGGATCAGTCTTTCAAGACATTTGATGATTTCATAGTCAGGAAGAGCAAGGCTGGTCATGTTCAAGCCCAGCATCTGGGAAACCACCTCCCTAAAGTCCACCAGCTGGAATATCAAACAGAAACACAGTAACTGAGACAGCAAATGTGTCAACTATTGCTGAGCCAAATGCAACAATAAAAAAAAAAAAAAAAAAAACGGAAAATCCAGGTGTGCATGAGGCAGGTAAGTGACTTACTCTCATTAACCTTAGTTCTCTCATTTATAAAATAAGAAGGCTAGCCTACTAAATTACCTCTGAAGTCCTTTCAGGCACCAACCTTCATCAATTTCATAACCACTTTTCTGATGAGCCAATTCATGTGGTATTGACTACCAAGTCAAGAATCCCAATTAAGCAACCATGAACAAGACTCTGACCTAACTAAGATTTCATTTCTCACTTCCAAGGTAGGAATAACTACAGACCTATCTCCCGGGGCTGTTCTGGGACCAAATGAAACGATGGCTGTGTATGTGTTCTGCATACTAGGGGGCACTTTACAAATGATAGAGTGGTCGTGCCCATGGTCATAAGTCCTTATGCTCTAGAATGCTACTGGCAATGAACCTCTCAAACTAAAGGAAGAACAAATGGCAAGAAAGTTATGAGCTCATGACAACAGAAGGGCTTCTAAATGATACTCAAATCACATCAGACAGATCACCACCATAACACTGGACTCTCTGGGAACCCCTAGTAGTCCATCACACACACACACACACACACACACACACACACACACACACACACACTGAGGTGGGTAGGGGGAGGACTGGAGACAATGGTGGAAATGTGCCTCACACCCCATAGACTGGTTGGTGATCCCAGGCTGAAGCAGAAGCAGATAAATCAGGGACAGCTGGGCGACGCCTCACTAGAGGTGCCTTCCATCTTAGGAGAAGTGTGATCTACCCTGAAGACAGATATTACATGCAGATCTGCCTTCCAAACATTCCCACCCTATACTAGTTCACTTCCCAACCTTCTCCCTACGCTGAGTCCAACTTGGGAAACATAACGCTTTCTCCAGCCTTGTCTCCCTGATGAAAAGGTTTCCTTGAAGTTCCTCATCCTTTCAAATATGGCCAAAGCTCTTAATTCTGGAGTGGTTTGACTCGGAGAACGCTCACGCGTCATTTGGCCTTCCTCGGCCCTGCCTGACACATGAGCCAGAGCAGAGGCAGCCAGAGAGAAAAATATCCTAGGATCAGAGTCCACTCTGGGCCCCTAGAGCACCAGAGAATGAGATGAAAGCCAAAGCATCGGGGGTCAGGCTGCCCGGTACATGCTTCTTCCTGCCTGACCTCTTGATGTGCTCACCAGATAACACTCTCCTCCTTGGACTGGCGAGCAAATAAGACCTGCTTTACGGTTTACATCTGGGTTTGGTTGGCCTTCAAGTCTGGGTGCCACCGCTGGAGATTTGGGACTATTTCCTGCAGCTGATCTCTCTGGAGATGAGGTTTATCCTGACCTCCCGGGCTGCTGGTGACCATCAGAAGATGTAGGATGATGCAACCTCCAGAGGCAATCAGCGAGCATCATAAAAACCGCCCCATAACCAGAACCTGGCTTTCCACAGGCTTTCCGTTGCTTTGATAAGAATGTCTTTTTCTTTTTTTTTTTAAATATATTTTATTGATTTTTTTACAGAGAGGAAGGGAGAGAGATAGAGAGTTAGAAACATCGATGAGAGAGAGACATCGATCAGCTGCCTCCTGCACATCTCCCACTGGGGATGTGCCCGCAACCCAGGTACATGCCCTTGACCGGAATCGAACCTGGGATCTTTCAGTCCACAGGCCGACACTCTATCCACTGAACCAAACCGGTTTCGGCAAGAATGTCTTTTTCTTTCCTACAATCTGTGCCATGAAAATAGGAATTACTTTTCTTAGTGGAATAAATCATAATGGTTCTTTTTTTAAAAATATATTTTATTGATTTTTTACAGAGAGGAAGGGAGAGGGATAGAGAGTTAGAAACATCAATGAGAGAGAAACATCGATCAGCTGCCTCCTGCACACTCCCCACTGGGGATGTGCCCGCAACCAAGGTACATGCTCTTGACCGGAATCGAACCTGGGACCCTTGAGTCCACAGGCCGACGCTCTATCCACTGAGCCAAACCGGTCAGGGCCATAATGGTTCTTTTAATGCCAAAAAAAAGATGCTAGATGGCAGGCAGAGACGTTGGAGTGATATAGAAAGTTCTGTAAATTGCCTGGCTGGCATTGCTCAGTGGTTGAGCATCAACCTATGAACCAGAGGTCACAGTTCAATTCCCAGTCAGGGCACATGCCCGGATTGTGGGTTCAATCTCCAGTGTGGGGCGTGCAGGAGGCAACCAATCAATGATTCTTATCATTAATGTCTCTATCACTCTCTCCCTTTCCCTTCCTCCTGAAATCAATGAAAATATTTTTTTAAAAAAGAATGTTCAGTAAATTGTTTATGAAGAAATGTGTGAACAATAATCAAGCTTTAGAATTGTCCTATCTTTCCTAAGTAGGAAGGTTTCACCACCAGGTGTCTACCCACCTGCTTTTCTCTCTTTTCTGCTTCCTCCAGAGATTTCCTTAGCGTCCTCAATTCGCTGGTCACCACTTCTATCGTGTTCCTGGCCCTCTCCTTGTCCTCCTGGGCCTCGTGCTCCGTACTGTCCAGTTCTGACCTGACGGACATGAGCTTCTTCTCAGCCTTCTCCTTCATCTTCTCCAGTTTGTCTCTGGATTTATTGAGGTCTTCAATGGCTTTGGTCTGCTCCAGAGTTTTAATCTAAGAAGACAAGAGAATGCTGATAGTCTGTGTATTTACTTAGAAAAACTGCATAAATAAGTCATAGGTCAATGGAATTCACTGAACTCATGATTTTTCTATGGGTAAGAATGAGATCTTTATATAAACTTTGTCAAACATATGTGCAGGATAAACATGTCTTAAGGCAGTTATCGTTTTTAAACAACATATCAGAGTACCATTATTTGGAAAATTAATGAGATAAAATGGGAGGTAGCGTGATCCTGGAGTTGAATATTAAAACGAGGCCTGCTGGTTCTTACGTGCAGATTCCATGAGCTCCCCCGGCAAAAGCAACTGGCCCTTTTTGCCCCTCCCAATGGGTCACGCCTGGTTTGGACGCTTTGGGAAGAGCACAATGTCTGCTCTGGGAGTGTTTTACCACAAGGAGGCCCCGCCTCCCATCCCCTGGGCCAGCTGCATCTCTGCTGTGAGGAAGATCTACAGCAGCACTTTTCTGGGGAAATGTCTCTGACTTTACCAGTGAGGTGCACTTGCCTGCAAGGAGCCAGGACATTGCGGTCATCCGTATTGGTGACGTGCTAGTAATAACATTTAAAATATGATCTGTGCACATGAAGTTACATACTTATGCCATCAAAATATCTGGACCAAATTCTTTCAAGTTTTAATTCCTTTCTTCTCTGTATTCACTGGAAATCGGACACCTCAAATCCAGGAAGAAGGTCGCCCTGATCTATCTACCCTCCTCGCTACTTGATACAACTCAACTCCCAGAGACCAGCATTGCACACCGGCACCTGCCTGACTCTTCTCATTTCTTCCCACGCAAACTCCTACATCATGAAACCCTACCTGACCCCTAAAATCGTAGTCGCCCTCATTTAAAAGACGTGTTTTTATTTTCTGGACTTAACATCACCCTGTCTGAGTGGCTTTTCCCACAGCAACTACAGCTCTATTTCCAATATGAAGAAGCCACTGACCTGAGCTAATATGCTGACTTGTGTAATTTTTGCACTTTTCCCACAACTCTAGAAAATCAGCGGAAGGTTTCCTCTTTTTTTCTGGCGTGGCCACAATGAGGCTGGCACTCTTTCGCAGAAGCGTGTGTGGTGACTAGCACAAAGCAACAAGGGAGCGAGGCTGAGCACTTGCCTTAAGCTCATTGGTGTCAGCCAGTTTGGCTTTGAGCTCAGTGTTCGATTCCCGGCACGCGCTCAGGTCCTTCTGCAGCCTCTCCACCTGCTTCTGTAACTTCCGTGCAGTGGCAATGGCCTCGTCCCTCTCCACGGCCAGGCCTGTCCGCAGCCGCCTCTCCTCTTCCAGCTGCGCTATCTTCTGTCGGAGGAGGTTCAAGTGCAGTTCTTTGCTCTCCAGTCTGTCTTTCTGGGTCTTGAGCTGGTTTGACACAAACAGGAAGTTTTGCATTGAACAGCCAGTAAACATAAATGAATTACTCAGATAATGTTGATCTTTGTCCACACTTCAATAAACCTCATGGCTAAATCATTTTTAAAAATGGTACTAGATTCCTTCTCCTGATTGCATTTTTATTTCTATCTCTTGAAGAATTAATTTTGTAGCTGCAAAGTATGAGGTTGAACAGCCAGAGAAAATGCACAGAGAAATAGGCTCTTAACACCTGACTCCCTCCAACATAATGTTCACCTAATAAAAATGTAAAATTGCTGTGAAGACAATGGAAATGAGCCCAGCTGGTGCGGCTCAGTGGTTGAGCATCAACCTATGAACAAGGAAGTCAAGGTCTGGTTCCCATTCAGGGCACATGCTTGGGTTGCGGGCTCGATCCCCGGTGTGGGGCGTGCGGGAGGCAGCCGATCAATGACCCTCTCTCATCATTGATGTTTCTATCTAAATCTAAATCTCCATCTCCCTCTCCCTCTCCCTCTCCCTTCCTCTCTGAAATCACTAAAAATATATATTTTTTTAAAACAACTAAAATGGGCTTATCAAGGGCAGAATATAGTAAAACAAAGAGACAAAATCCTTTCCAACACCCCACAGCAACTCTACTTGCCCTGGTCTTTCCTGAAAGAAGACAGGGTGCGAATTAGCACCAAAAACCTAGACTGACTCATCTCCATCCCTCAGTATGTGAGTAGTCTAGCTTGCTTTAAAGTTCATATATTTTTAAAGTAAGTGATACCAAGAAAAATTGTTTAGAATAAATGATACCAGGGAAAATTTTTTAATATATTTAATATATTTTGTTGATTTTTTTTACAGAGAGGAAGGGAGAGGGATAGAGAGTTAGAAACATTGATGAGAGAGAAACATCGACCAGCTGCCTCCTGCACACCACCGACTGGGGATGTGCTTGCAACCAAGGTACATGCCCTTGACTGGAATCGAACCCGGGACCCTTGAGTCCACAGGCCGACGCTCTATCCACTGAGCCAAACCGATTAGGGAAGGACACTTTTTAAAGTTTTGTTTATATAATTAAAATCTTAGAAATAAAAGGGACTTGAAGGAAGTTTGAGTTCATCAGTGTCTTTATTACATGCCTGGCCTATACCATCCACAAACCAAGCAGGTCCTGAAACAGCACTTATCATTGACAATTAAACTTGATGAAGGAAATTATAGTGGTTTTTAGAAAAAGATTGTGGGCTCGAAGAGGAGAAAAAAAACCTCGTGGGCTTCACATGTCACAACTAGTGAGTGGACTATTAAGTACAGAAACCTCTTTCATCTGTTATAAAAATTAGGAATGAGAATCGTGTAGAATTATAGAATGTTAGAGCTGGGGAAGGTCATATTTTCCCTAATTTTTTTTAGTCCTCACCTGAGGATATTTTTCCATTGATTTTTTAGAAAGAGTGGAAGAGAGAGGGAAAGACAGAGAGAAATATCAATGTGAGAGAAACACATTGATTGGTTGCCTCCTGCATGAGCCCCTACCAGGGTCCGGGCCAGTACATGTCCTTGACAGGAATTGAACTGGGGACCCTTTGGGCCGCAGGCTCTACCCACTGAGCAAAACCAGTTGGGACACGTTTTCCCCCATTACTGACTGCATTTATTAAGTGTTCAGAGGTGTGAAGAACTAACGGGAATGTGGGCTTGAGTATCTTGCCTAACGGTGACAGCAATGTCCCTGCCCAGAACCCTTTGTAACACGGCCCTTTCAATATTTCCCTAACTAACCTCCCTTCCTGGAGCTTCTTCATGTTAAGTCCACTCTATTGCAAATTTACACTAGCAAGTTCTGTGCACACGTAACTTTAATAATTACACAAGACTTAAGAAAAAATGGTATTAGATATTGACAAAAAATTCAGTTATCTGAGGGAAACTTCAGAAAAAATTGTAGCTCCATTTAATGTCTCTGATGGTAACAGGGGTTATCTCCTTTCTTTTTAAAATATTCCCAAAGATACAGTACGTGGAGAGGAGGTCAAATGTAAATAGAGCATCTTCTATGAGCCAAGAGTTCAAAATGTTATTTATTAAAAATGTACAACCTCCTGAAGGAGGTGTCATCCCCATCTTCAGTATGAGGAGAGGAAGAGAGGAATGCAGTTTCCCAAGGTCACAGAGCTTGGCGGAGCCAAATTGGGAACCCAGATGGGACTCATTATATGGCCTGCACACTGTAACTCTACCACAGAATTTTCTCCTAAGAACTATTATAAGGATACATTTGTGTTTTCCTTTTTCCTTCCCCAATGCCAATAATTACATAACTAATAATTATATTTTTATCCTCTTCATGCATTCATTTATTTAGTCTAAACTGTTTCTAACTCTCCCTTTGAGTGAATGAAAATCTCTTCTCTCTACTTTCTAGTCTAATAGAGCTTTTACAAAGGCAGAGACTGCTAACTGTTCCCCAATTCTCCTCTCCTATAGTTATAGAAACAGTACGTTTTTCAGCTAGGTAAATGGCTAGCCAGAGTAAAGATTACCGGTTCAAGCCTCCCTTGCAGCTAGCTTTAACCATCAGAACATATTCCATGGGACATAAACACAAGCTCATGGAGCAATTTCTGGGAACCTCCTTTAAGACAGCTCATGTCTGCGCTTTTGCATCCCTCTCCTGCCTCCCTTCCTTCTCCAACTTCCTTGCTGGAACACAGATGTAATATTTCTAAAAAGTATTTTTAACCATGAGGATAAGGACCACCCTAGCGATGGGTGACTAATGAGCTTAAATGAGCTGGGTTCCTTCAAAACTTCACAGAGCTGAGCTGTCACACTAGCCCTGAGCTGCCTACTTCCAGGAATTCAGGCAACAGAAGAAAAACAAAACACTTCCACTTGTTTAAGCCACTGTTACTTTGGGTCTTTATTACTCATAGTCTAACATAACCTTAGGTGATACCTGCCATCACTCAGACTTGAAAGATTCTAAACCAGCCGTGGGCAAACTACGGCCCGTTTTTCAATAAAACTATTGGGGGGAAAAAGACCGTACCCTTTTATGTAATGATGTTTACTTTGAATTTATATTAGTTCACACAAACACTCCATCCGTGCTTTTGTTCCGGCCCTCCAGTCCAGTTTAAGAACCCATTGTGGCCCTCAAGTCAAAAAGTTTGCCCACCCCTGTTCTAAACACATAATATTATAATCATGTTTCCAGCCACATTGGTAATACGGTAGCAGTAAGTTATATTTCAATATTGAAGTTTCACAGATATTCATTCTCTCAACATTGGCAAGTTTCCACCTCTCCTACCTTTCTCTGTAAATTGTGGGCGATGGTCTTATTTTCAATGACGGCATTGCTCTCGAGGCGTACCAGCTGCTCTGCACGAGCTAAAACTACATCTAGCCGCATGTCAAAACCAAGTTCAGCAGCCATCTGGTCCAATTTCATTTTCTCTGAGAGCTGGTCCAGAAATTTAAGATACTACACCCAAGAACAAAAATGAAAATGAGACACAAAAATAAAGTTAACAGGCGATCTCACACAATCCTCCCCTTTCTCCCAAATTTACAGGTAGTTCTCATTAAACCCAGTAGGAGCCTGGCCCCCCAACACCAAAGTTTGGTAATGAATTCCTGACCCACCCTGCCAGCTCCACGTCCTGCTCCTTGACCATATTCTCTTGACTCTCCTGGTCAGTGACCTTGATGTTCAATCTAATATTATACACTCTTCTTAACCTTGCCATATGACAGATGTGCATGCTCCCAACTATTTCTCCATCTCTCTGCTTTGCTACATGCTGCTGCCACCACGCCCCTGCTAGGCTAATCCAGCCCCAAGCATCTGCCAGGAGCCAGTCCATCCTTGCTGTTTCAAGGGGCCTGGCATATATGGCATACTGTTCTTAATATATTTGCTCACCTTCTTGGCACTATGTGTTTTAACCAAGGTCACCTCTCCAAGAAAGGTTGTTTCCCCAGGTAGAGATTTTCCCCTGAAGTTAGGGAGGGAATAAAACCCCTTCACTAAGTGCCAGGAGGGTAATTAATCACTTTAACTATGAACAATCACGCTTAAGCTACATAATCTTTACTCCCTGGAATGGAGATAAGAAACGCGCTAACCTTTGTAATATTGACAGGATTAAATCAACTGGTATAAATACAGATGTAACAAGACAATAAACGCCAGAACTTTGCTGGAGATCCAGACCAGAACTTGGCTGGAGAACCTAGCGAGAGAACATGGCCATAGAACCTGGCTGGAGATCCTAACCAGAACTTCACTGGAGATCCTGACCAGAACTTGGCTAGAGATCCTGCCTAGGCTTCTGATCAACTGAACGCTGTCTCCGTGTCATTCCTTCTTCGCCGACTCTGTCCACACCTTTGGGGACCCCTGGACCTGCTGGGGCTGGACCCCGGCATACCCATCCAGACCTTCCATGGAGATTTTTCCCACCCTATGTGGCCCAGGCCTCAAAAGTGGAAAATGAGGACTTAACCAGTTGCCACAACACTCTCTATACAAACAACCTTTGGACAACATTTTTGCTTTAGAGAAAATGTATTTAAGAGTTGTTAATGTATCATATAGTTAAAGGAACAACACTCCAAAATGGAGTTATCAGGAAAGTCAAAGTTCACATTTTATTCATTTTTTAAAAAATGTATTTTATTGATTTTTTACAGAGAAGAAGGGAGAGGGATAGAGAGTTAGAAATATCAATAAGAGAGAAACATCAATCAGCTGCCTCCTGCACGCCCCCTACTGGGGATGTGCCCACAACCAAGGTACATGCCCTTGACCGGAATCGAACCTGGGACCCTTCAGTCTGCAGGCCAACACTCTATCCACTGAGCCAAACCAGGTAGGGCAAAGTTCACATTTTAACAGGTTAAAGTGACAATGTTCTGGGACCTCCCTCCACTTGATCTCTGTGGCTCAGCTGGCCATGTCAGATGTAGCGTAATGTCTACTAAGTACTTGCTGGATAACCAAATCGATCAATGTGCTTTCTATATCATCATTCCATGATCTGGGTTCCATCTTTGAGATTTTTTTCTCATGGCAATAACTCGGGCAATTTCATGTTTAAATAAATATAAATTCCTGACAACTGAAGCAATCCATTGCTTTTTTAATCCTCACCCAAGTATATGTTTATTGATTTTAGAGAAAGAGGAAGGGAGGGAGGGAAGAGAAACATCAATTCGATAAAGAAACATGCCCTGAGCAGGAATCAAACCTGCAACCTATTATCTTCTGACCTGAACTTTCTAAGAATCCCAACTGGGCTCCCTACCTTTAGTGTCTGGAACTTCAGAGCCATTCTGCCTTCAGAAAACCTTTTTCTTTTCCTCAAAACCTTTCTATGCCTCCCCATTACCTATAGGATAAAGCAGGGGTGGGCAAACTTTTTGACTCGAGGGCCACAATGGGTTCTTAAACTGGACCGGAGGGCCGGAACAAAAGCATGAATGGAGTGTTTGTGTGAACTAATATAAATTCAAAGTAAACATCATTACATAAAAGGGTACGGTCTTTTTTGTTTTTAGTTTTATTCATTTCAAACGGGCCGGATCCGCTGTAGTTTGCCCACGGCTGGGATAAAGCCTCCAGTAATGAGCGTGACCTACCTCAATTACCCCTTCCTGCCTCCAGAGCCACCTCCCACCTTTGGCCACGCCCCAGTCTATTTGTGCCTCATTCCTCTTCTAAACAGTCCTATTACACCTCCCTTCCTTCAGCCCTCCTGCTGTTCCCTCTGCCTCAGGTCCCTTCCCCACTCTTCTGCGGGACACATTCCTACCTGTTCTTTAAAGCCCCTCACATACGTCACCTGCGGAATCTGCCCCTTCTCCCCACTAAAATGCTACTTTATCCTTCAATGATCACCTCAATGATCATCTTCCTGTAAAATCATCCCATTTTACAGA